TAAACAACCTCTGGACCTGTCAGCTTATAGACAGGCAGGGATTCACAGGGAGTCGGTCTCAAGTTATGTAGACTCTCGTCCTGTGAATGCCGTTCTAGGCACACAACCGCCTAACGTGGAAGGGACATAATTTTGTCTGCCTCGGGAGACGCGCACCACAATAGCCCAACTGCGCTCTGGCTATTGCAGCAGGCTAAACTCATACCTGAGGAGAATTAATGAGGATGCGCCCAACCAATGTCCGTCATGTGGAGAGTCGCCACATGACTCTCGGCACCTCTTCACAAGCCCCGAGAATCCCACCCAGCTAACGCCCCTGCCCTTATGGACAGACCCTGTCGAAGTTGCGCACTTCCCGGCCCCCCCCCCTTAGCGGAGATAATTTAAGGAAACTGCTAGCTCGTCTAAAAACTGTAATTTACCGTTAAAACTGTGAATATGGCAACATCGATGAGCATTGAAGTCGGTTGTATTTTTTGCTTAAATATTATTTGATTTCATTCAATTCATTTTAAAACAATATACATAACTAGCCGCCGTCGTAATGCGTCAATAGTTATCGAAATCGAAAACGCTGATGCCAATTTTTTAATGATTGTATGATTTAACTTTTGTTACTGATACGCAAAGTTGCCACATATCCTCCCTGTGTTCCGTAATGTATCAAGCCAAAGCATTAGAATATTTTTTTTAAATTGCAATTGAAGGAAATCGCCAATATGCAGAACCACGGTTAAATGCCGAATTGTAACTTAGTCACGCAAATCCATCAATTATAGTTTAAAAATAAGAGACTGATGCTTTCACTTGATGCATTTCTCAACAAAACCCCTTTTATGTTTTCTTACTAATATAAAACTTTGTACAAATGGAAATTGCTTCAAGAAAGGGTTAAATGTTTTACTTTTATAAATTCTAATTATTATTATATACAGATTTTAATTCCTAAGTACATTTGTATATACATATATACGTATTTAAAACACATTTAAATTTTTGGTCAATATTTTTAACAATTTTCTAAGCATATTATGTACTTGTATATAAATGTACATTTGTAGATTGTTTTTAGTTACTCATAACCAGAGTTGCGAAAAATGCATTAAATTTTTTAATGCATAGCATTTTAATGTAAATTGAAAAAATTAATGCATTAATTTTTGATATTTAATGTAAAGGAAAATTTCAATGCATTAATTCCAAAGAAATAATGCTACTGATTTTTTTTTTTGTATTAACATTAAAATTTTTAAATGAATGCTAATGCAATAATTTATTGCATTAAAATTATAACAAGCATTAAAAACCCATTAACTAATTTTATTTTGAAGTAGAATTTTAAGTGCAAAAAAGATAGTGACGGACGTTAAGGCTGGTTTTCACTATGTCAAGTTCAATGGCATTTGTCGTTAAATAGGTAAAAACACATTGTCAAATGGAACTAAAAAATGCTTTATTGATTGCTTTAGATCAGAGTAGGTCCTCAGTCGTGTACATGCGCTGCCAAATTGGCTATCTGTCCGTATGTAATAGGTATGCATCAACAATCAACATTAAAATCTACAAAAGCACTCTGAGTTGCATGCACATTGGCTTTTATTTTCATAAAACATCTAACAATGTTTAGAAGAATGTTTCTACAAATACCCATAATATAATGAAGCTGAAAAAACTATTAGTAATTATTCCAAGTCCTTCCAAAAGAGGTTATTTATATTTCACTAGAAAAAAAATTTAATGGTTTTTAATAATGCAAACGAGCAAAAGTATTGAACATCTTAGTGCATTAAATTTTTTTCATTTGCATTAGCTTGGATAATTTAATGAAAAAAAATCATTAGCATTACATTTTTCAGAATTAATGCATTGGCATTTTCATTTGCATTACATTTCAAAAATGAATGCATTAATTTTTTACATTAACATTATTGCTTTAAATACCTTTAATACATTAAAAAATTAATGCATTTTTCTCCCAATCTGCTCATAACTAAATATATGTATTACATAAAAGAAAAAATTCAACAATCTACCAACCGAGTTTAATCTCGATAATCAGCTATGCAAATTGAAGCGTTTGTGCCACCAAATCCAAACGAATTTTTCAATGCAATCCTTCGCGCTTTCGTATCTTGATGCCACTTCTCTGATTTGCTCTGTACTATTGGCACACTAATGCTCTCATCCAAGTGTTCAATATTAATAGATGGCGGAAGTTGGTTTTCTGCACATGCTTGAACAACGAAAACTGCTTCTAAATTGCCCGATGAGCCCAGCAAATGTCCGTGGGCACCTTTTGTGGACGACACTCGCAC